AGGGTTTACATTCACTCACTTGTTCTGCTACAGTTCCAAAGTTGACCACACCCCCAGTGCAGGGAGGTTTTGTCACAAGAAAAGAGCCATCACTTGCACAATTAACAATAGGGAATCCAATATTGTCCCTAATAATAGAATAATTGCGGCTGTAACTATATGCATCGATAATATTTAGAAATTTACAAGTCATTTTAAATTTATTATAGCTTTTACAAATTTTGAAAAATGTTTAAATAACTACTAAATATTTTATATCTAGCTAAAATTGAAAATTTAATTAAAAACACCCAAGGCACAAAAATCTCTGCTTACCATCCCTGTACAGTATCCCAGTCAGTGCATATACCCCCAGTGACTTGAGCACCACATTCTATGAGATGACCAGCTAAACTATAAATACACAAACCATCACATGATAATCACACGCTAATCACATGATAGTCACATGTTACCTTAGAGTGACTTTTATTTGCGGGTACTAAATTTTACGATTTTAGCACGAGGAGATTTTGCTGGTATTAAAAATTGCGATTAAGTAGTTATTACTAATAGTTATATGGCATCATGATGTCATTATTAATAATTGCGCGTATTAATAATTGCGATTTTAACCCAAACACAAAATTAGCAATTATCAGTACCCATATTTAAAAGTAACCTTAAGGTAATCATATAACAAACCTTCCTGATGATAGCAAATCATAATCAGTTCTCTTCCAACCAAACTAGAATTTTAAAAATGAAAAATCAATTATTATTATCATCAATTATTATGTTCACATGCTTTGTGTATCAGTGGTCCAAGGGCTAGTGCTGAGTCAGTGGCACGTCCAGTAATGACAATATCTGCTCCTTTATCCAGTGCATCAGCAATGGGGAAACTCCTGTAATATATGAATTATAATTACAAATTAAATGATCTATGTATAATAATGCAATTAAACATTATAAATGAAATACAGTAAAGCCTCTCTTAATAGACACTCTCTATAGCGGATACTTCCATTTAATGGAGAGTACCTATAGTGTACCAATTGCCTTCCTTACTGTATAAATGATCTCCAAATAAAGGACACCTCAGTATAACTTTAAAAGTTAAAATGTCATTATATAAAGGCTCCACTGACTGAGAATCAATTAAAGGGTCTTACTCTTACCCAATATAAGCATTCATGCTCAGTACAGATGAGGGTAATGTCCGACCTGATTCGATATCAACAGCATATCCACTATCCTTAATCTCCTTCACCTGTACCACATAATAACACCAATAACTTGGAAAAAATTAAAATTTCACTCACGTTCTTCATCATGTCATCTCCGGTTACCATGGCAACCGATAACTCCACCCCCTCAGATGACATGACGTTTTTAATAGTATTAACACACCCTTCGGGATTGATTCCACCAGCATTGGTAACGACACGAATACCTAATTATAACTATTAATAACTCTGCTGTGGTGGGTGTGGCTGCTTATAATTAATGGGTGTGGTTACTTTGCTTCTTGATGTCATGAATGAGTGGTTTGATACAGTGAGATATGAAATCAGGAGTATAGCCCATATCCTGTGATGAGAAAAGGGCTAATGCTTGAGCTGAAACATCATAGAAAATGTAATAAAAAAGGAGATTCTCACATAGTCGTTTTTGGTAAAATTTAGCCTGAGACCATGTACTACAGTTCAAGGACTTTTGGCCAAATTTCGAGTAACTTCAAAAATTTGTGTCAAATCTAAGTTTAATCGGATTCAGCTCAAATTTGTTACTCAACATAAAAACATGTATATCTATTAGAAAAAATTATAAAAGATGAGAATTCTCTCCTAGTCATTTTTGACAAAATTTGGTCAATGACCCTGTACTATAGTACAGGAACTTTGGCCCGATTTTGGAACAACTTTAAAAATTTGTAAAAAATCAAATTTTGATCGGAATCGGTTCAAACTTGCTACACAACATAAGAACATGTATATCTATCAGAAAAAAAATTAAAATTAAGAATTCTCTCCTAGTCATGTTTGGCGAAATTACCCTGTACTACAGTACAGAGACTTTAGCCTGATTTTGGAGCAACTTTAAAATTTCTTTAAAATCAAATTTGATCGGAATCAGCTCAAACTTGCTACACAACATAAAAACATGTATATCTATCAGAAAAAAATATAAGAATTAAGCATTCTCTTCTAGTCATTTTTGACAAAATTTGGCCAATGACCCTGTACTACAGTACAGGGTGTTTTATCTGATTTTTGAGTAAATTTAAAAATTTTTGAAAAAATCCAATTTTGATCAGAATCAGCTCAAACTTGCTATCTGCA